GGTTAAACAGACACCTTGTCAGACGTCGTTTGTATTGCACTGGGCAGTAACTATAATCGCTAAGCTACTGGCCTACACAATCAATCCCCTTAGGTGAATGCTCCGATCCCTCCAACTCCGTTCAAACACTGGACATTCGCTTTCTGTCCTCCTAATTTCTTGATTAATACAGCTGTGCGAAGATAGTGATTAGGATTACTCTGACAGTTGCTAATATACATGTGATCATATGATAGCATTTTGAGAGTGAGCGAGAGAGTGGACTATCAACATTCTAAGCAATTGCAGTCCATTCAAGGGTAATCAGACGATTATCACATCATAACATTATGTTCCAATGATACAGTGATAACTACTGTCTCATAATCCTCAATATGCAATTTAAGCGATGTTAGTAATTCTGACTACATACAATTGACAACCTTCTTCGGAATTCTCAGAATCATTTCACATCGAAGTACGAAAATTTTTCCTAAACTTCACTGACAGTCTGAAAGTAAAATATTTATTGGTTTTCGGTTAAATCAATATTTGATTCATGCAGTTGATCAGTGTTTGTTGGGATATATAGGCATCTTGAAGAGATTGAACCAATAAAGTGTTATGTCGCGAGTTTGAGCATATTTAGCATGTTTGAGATTTTGAAGCCAGTACCTCTGCTGTCGAATGCGCAACGCAATATTTCCCGACTTGTTTTGACTCACTATCTGATCAGTTGAGACCTATCAAATGTACAGAATCAATTCTTCTTTCGAGAATATTCTATCCTGGTCATTTAATTATAATTTTCCATTTTTCACTGATAAATTCGTTGTCTCATTTTTCTCTATGAACACTCTCAACATTGTGAAACACACTTCACTTATTCCTTTGGCCAGTGTGTTATACTTTAAACTGTTGGAGGAGATTTAATTGGAAGATTAGACAATGAATAATGCTGACTAGTTATTGGATATGCAAGTATACAGTTAGATGAAATCTCTGACTTCATGCTCTTCTGAACACAGATCAACGTAGCATTCAGTACACTATAGAAGTATTCTGATTAACCGATTCGATCATGTGATCAACCGATGAAATAAACCGAAGAATTTAGCAAACTTCTTGTTCAAATGAAGTTCAAGTTGTTCTGGATAACAAATTTCATTGAATAGCGATTCACGAATATGACACAATTTCATCATGACTAAGTTTATAACCAGCTACTAACTAATATAAAAATCATTTTCAAATTTTCATAACCACTCCCACTCTCAATTTGATTAGTATAACGTGATTGTATTTTATTCAGTATGCGTAATCAAACACCATCCAACATACCTGATGTTGTTCAATAGACTGGGTCTTTTGAAAAGTTTCAAAATCAAAACCGTCTTTCTTTCCATATTGATGATGGTGATGATGATGATGATGATGATGATGATGATGATGATGATGATTGTTGTATCCCCTGGCGAATTATGAATCATAAATCTGATGTCCATTTATGGACAAATGTAATACGCCTATTCCTATTGGATAGTTGTTAAATGAGTAACCTAAATCTGATGTCTATTTATGGACAAATACAATATGCCCATTCCCTATTGGATAGTTGTTAAATAAGTGACCTAATCGTTTCCGTGTTCCTCTTATCACAACCTTTGTTTTGACCTTGGAACTATTATTATTGATTACTTTCCCCCTAGCTACAGCCACATTGGCCAATTACTGTACAAATGTTATTTTTCTATTTTTTGGTATAATTGGGTCTGTTTGGTTAGTATATATAACCCAGTGTGCTTGTGAATAATGATTCATATTTCCGAGGCTGTTATTTGTGTTCTGGACTCAACTGGCTGGGCTAGGCAGTTAGGAAGGACCGAATAGCAATCAAGACTGCTCGTACGTATTTTCTGTATCATTGCACGTTTCATATACAATAACGATTGTTAAACGAGACATAACAATTGGCGACGGGGATTCTGGAAAAAAATACAGCAGCCGCTGACGTCATTTTGGAATTAAATAATCCATAATAATTGCCGGTGTTTTTTTTGGATTTATTATTATCATTTACATTTAAAAAATGGCCTTAACTTCCGACCAATTTCAGTTGCTAATCCAGCGACAAGAGCAGCGCTTCAGAAAGAGTCAATTGGATTTCATTGACAAATTACACGCGAAGCTGCTGAATCACCCATGCTTTGGGAGTGAAACGGAAGTTGACGCAATAATTTCAAAATTGCGTACAGAGCTGGAAAACAATTACAGAACTAATGAATATGCCGGCGAAAGCCTCAATGAATCCATACAAAGCAATAATTTAAGCGCAGCAGTTATACATGATCAGCCCAGTAACCCAGTACTGCCTGTTTCAGAGACATGCCCTGTACACGGTCCAAGTCTTATTAATCCCGAAAACGGACGTGCAAACAATGAATTATCCTATTCACAGAAAGTAAATGTCTTGCAAAATGCTCATGAAATTGCTGCAGTACCCGCCCACGAAGAAACGGGAAACAAATCGAGCAGTATATGGAATACAGTGGCACCAAATGAAATTAATCATGATACGGAAAATGTTTCTAATGAATCTAATGATCAAAATTCTGTAATTGTTCTACCAGATTTAGATTATTTTGATGATTCATATGTTTCTGTTGAATTCTCTTATAAAAATGAGAGAAAAATGTCAGATGTATTTAATGATAATCAAGAATCCAATACAACTCTCATAGATACTGATTATCCTAATGATTCATTATCTACTAATGAGGTTCCGAGGAAATTCAAGGAAACTATTTCAGAAGAATCAAATGTTGGTGACCTCGAATCAAATGTCGTCGATCCTCATGATCTCTTCAGTTCTAATGCATTCCCTGTTAAAGGTGACAAACATATCGCATTAATAGTAACTTGGCTATATGAGGATCCAACAGTCTTTCGTGGGGGAGGGTGAATTCGAGGAAATTAAAATTCCGGATTTCTCAAAAAGGGCAGGTGTTGCATCCCCTGGCGAATTATGAATCATAAATCTGATGTCCATTTATGGACAAATGTAATACGCCTATTCCTATTGGATAGTTGTTAAATGAGTAACCTAAATCTGATGTCTATTTATGGACAAATACAATATGCCCATTCCCTATTGGATAGTTGTTAAATAAGTGACCTAATCGTTTCCGTGTTCCTCTTATCACAACCTTTGTTTTGACCTTGGAACTATTATTATTGATTACTTTCCCCCTAGCTACAGCCACATTGGCCAATTACTGTACAAATGTTATTTTTCTATTTTTTGGTATAATTGGGTCTGTTTGGTTAGTATATATAACCCAGTGTGCTTGTGAATAATGATTCATATTTCCGAGGCTGTTATTTGTGTTCTGGACTCAACTGGCTGGGCTAGGCAGTTAGGAAGGACCGAATAGCAATCAAGACTGCTCGTACGTATTTTCTGTATCATTGCACGTTTCATATACAATAACGATTGTTAAACGAGACATAACAATTGGCGACGGGGATTCTGGAAAAAAATACAGCAGCCGCTGACGTCATTTTGGAATTAAATAATCCATAATAATTGCCGGTGTTTTTTTTGGATTTATTATTATCATTTACATTTAAAAAATGGCCTTAACTTCCGACCAATTTCAGTTGCTAATCCAGCGACAAGAGCAGCGCTTCAGAAAGAGTCAATTGGATTTCATTGACAAATTACACGCGAAGCTGCTGAATCACCCATGCTTTGGGAGTGAAACGGAAGTTGACGCAATAATTTCAAAATTGCGTACAGAGCTGGAAAACAATTACAGAACTAATGAATATGCCGGCGAAAGCCTCAATGAATCCATACAAAGCAATAATTTAAGCGCAGCAGTTATACATGATCAGCCCAGTAACCCAGTACTACCTGTTTCAGAGACATGCCCTGTACACGGTCCAAGTCTTATTAATCCCGAAAACGGACGTGCAAACAATGAATTATCCTATTCACAGAAAATAAATGTCTTGCAAAATGCTCATGAAATTGCTGCAGTACCCGCCCACGAAGAAACGGGAAACAAATCGAGCAGTATATGGAATACAGTGGCACCAAATGAAATTAATCATGATACGGAAAATGTTTCTAATGAATCTAATGATCAAAATTCTGTAATTGTTCTACCAGATTTAGATTATTTTGATGATTCATATGTTTCTGTTGAATTCTCTTATAAAAATGAGAGAAAAATGTCAGATGTATTTAATGATAATCAAGAATCCAATACAACTCTCATAGATACTGATTATCCTAATGATTCATTATCTACTAATGAGGTTCCGAGGAAATTCAAGGAAACTATTTCAGAAGAATCAAATGTTGGTGACCTCGAATCAAATGTCGTCGATCCTCATGATCTCTTCAGTTCTAATGCATTCCCTGTTAAAGGTGACAAACATATCGCATTAATAGTAACTTGGCTATATGAGGATCCAACAGTCTTTCGTGGGGGAGGGTGAATTCGAGGAAATTAAAATTCCGGATTTCTCAAAAAGGGCAGGTGTTGCATCCCCTGGCGAATTATGAATCATAAATCTGATGTCCATTTATGGACAAATGTAATACGCCTATTCCTATTGGATAGTTGTTAAATGAGTAACCTAAATCTGATGTCTATTTATGGACAAATACAATATGCCCATTCCCTATTGGATAGTTGTTAAATAAGTGACCTAATCGTTTCCGTGTTCCTCTTATCACAACCTTTGTTTTGACCTTGGAACTATTATTATTGATTACTTTCCCCCTAGCTACAGCCACATTGGCCAATTACTGTACAAATGTTATTTTTCTATTTTTTGGTATAATTGGGTCTGTTTGGTTAGTATATATAACCCAGTGTGCTTGTGAATAATGATTCATATTTCCGAGGCTGTTATTTGTGTTCTGGACTCAACTGGCTGGGCTAGGCAGTTAGGAAGGACCGAATAGCAATCAAGACTGCTCGTACGTATTTTCTGTATCATTGCACGTTTCATATACAATAACGATTGTTATACGAGTCATAACAATGATGATGATGATGATGATGATGATGATGATGATGATGATGATGATGATGATGATGATGATGATGATGATGATGATGATGATGATGATGATGATGATGATGATGATGATGATGATGATGATGATGATGATGATGATGATGATGATGATGATGATGATGATGATGATGATGATGATGATGATGATGATGATGATGATGATGATGATGATGATGATGATGATGATGATGATGATGATGATGATGATGATGATGATGATGATGATGATGATGATGATGATGATGATGATGATGATGATGATGATGATGATGATGATGATGATGATGATGATGATGATGATGATGATGATGATGATGATGATGATGATGATGATGATGATGATGATGATGATGATGATGATGATGATGATGATGATGATGATGATGATGATGATGATGATGATGATGATGATGATGATGATGATGATGATGATGATGATGATGATGATGATGATGATGATGATGATGATGATGATGATGATGATGATGATGATGATGATGATGATGATGATGATGATGATGATGATGATGATGATGATGATATGATGATGATGATGATGATGATGATGATGATGATGATGATGATGATGATGATGATGATGATGATGATGATGATGATGATGATGATGATGATGATGATGATGATGATGATGATGATGATGATGATGATGATGATGATGATGATGATGATGATGATGATGATGATGATGATGATGATGATGATGATGATGATGATGATGATGATGATGATGATGATGATGATGATGATGATGATGATGATGATGATGATGATGATGATGATGATGATGATGATGATGATGATGATGATGATGATGATGATGATGATGATGATGATGATGATGATGATGATGATGATGATGATGATGATGATGATGATGATGATGATGATGATGATGATGATGATGATGATGATGATGATGATGATGATGATGATGATGATGATGATGATGATGATGATGATGATGATGATGATGATGATGATGATGATGATGATGATGATGATGATGATGATGATGATGATGATGATGATGATGATGATGATGATGATGATGATGATGATGATGATGATGATGATGATGATGATGATGATGATGATGATGATGATGATGATGATGATGATGATGATGATGATGATGATGATGATGATGATGATGATGATGATGATGATGATGATGATGATGATGATGATGATGATGATGATGATGATGATGATGATGATGATGATGATGATGATGATGATGATGATGATGATGATGATGATGATGATGATGATGATGATGATGATGATGATGATGATGATGATGATGATGATGATGATGATGATGATGATGATGATGATGATGATGATGATGATGATGATGATGATGATGATGATGATGATGATGATGATGATGATGATGATGATGATGATGATGATGATGATGATGATGATGATGATGATGATGATGATGGATCAACATCACACTTTTGATTCACATCGATAAATTGCATTTTTATCACTAATATTATTATCATTATAATGAGTTGACGTTTTTAGCGTTTTATTCGGGAGTTAGTTTTTCTACGGGATGGAGTCGCTAATCCCATGCTCAACCTTCCTCCTTTATCTGGGCTTGGGACCGGCAGTAACTCTACAAGAGCTGCAGGCGAAGTTATTACTGTTAGTACTCCTATCATGATTATTGTTAGTAGTAATGATGATTTGATTGTAAAATCAGTGTTGAATTCATTACCATCATTACTGCTATAATATAATATCATGGAGAAACCTAATTGATTTTTGCTCGCCTCTGTAATGGACCTAAGATTTTGATTGAATGATGAGAAACTGTTCAAATCAAAGAGAATAAATCATATCAGTATCGGCCTCGTATTGATGTTGATATTACATAAACGATGAAATTTTTGAGCAGGAACTACATTGAAGAAGGAAGAGAAACAGTGAACAATGACAGTGTATTATTGTCATTGTCAAGTCATCGAAGCGTCCAAAATAACAAAATTGAGATTCGTGAGAAATCGAATTTCACAAAACAGTGATTTTTCTGGAGAACGCAGTTCATCATGGAATAATAAATCGAAAGTAGTTACAAACCCTAACTAGTCATGTATCTATGGGGGTTACCTCGTCTGACAGTCTGAAATAATAACAGTTTCATGAGATAGTAACATAAACAGTACATACAGCATATGATACTGCAAATGACAACTGTTAGCTGTGTCTTAATTTTATAACAGTTTATCAACAAGCAAAAACCGATTCAAAAGCAAACGATATAAAAGCTGTTGCGTTTAAATAGGGATTAAACGCCTACAAGTTGTTAGGACTACAACTGTCTACTGAATAATAATAATAATAAGTAGTATGAGACAATACACGAAAGAGTCGAATGGAAGTGAATGTGCACAGAGAACGTAAACAAACAGATTTAACAGGTATTATAATGGTGATTATTGAGTAATGATCCATTCATTGCAATGTCATTGGATTTAATATTTTCTGAAATACTTTATGATATTTGTGTAGTTCCTGTGAATAGGACATTTTGTTGTTTAACAAATTGCAGTTTCATTTGATAGGTCATTTCATGTGTATTGACTCCATGCATTAGATGTCTGTGATACTTTGTAGAGTAGATCTCTTATCTATAGACAGAATTTCTCTTAGAAAGAGTTGATTACAGCTGTTTGTAGGTAAATTATACAAATTTTCTTCATCGAGGAATGATGTTCATTTTCTGACTGGGTTTGTTGTTGAGAAGGATGTTATGGGTGTTGTTTACAGGCGTAGTTTTCCGATGTCCAGATAACAAGTGACTTCTTATTTACGTTGTGTCCCTATTCTGAACAGTTCACCAATTGTCCGAATTCACAACTTGACACTCTCGACGAGACGTACCAAACTTAGTGAATTAGGCAAATGTTGGCTCTCTACCATCATCTGTCAGTCTATCCACCATATTTCCGTACGGCGCTTGCACTGACTGACCATCATCAACAACCCTTAACGCGACATAGGTCTCAAACTGCCGTACAAACTTTCATCACCTCATATGATGTCCATCGAATTAATCAAATTCTACCCTGGATAATTCTAGACCTACGAGAAAGAGCACCCGTGGTATCACTCTGTTTTCTAATATTCCGAGTTTCTGACTTCCCTCTGAATCAGAACTAGTGTCACTATCACGAAATGTTACTCATGTTGCCGACGAGATTTCAGTAAGTTGAAGCGGTATAGAGCGTTATCAGAAATTATAAGAGGGAGACATACTGTCATTCTCAGGGCTCATCATTCTACGTCATCTGATCAGTCGACAGAATACCATTTCCCAGTACTTATTGTTAGGCTGATTACTCAAGCTGAATATGCATATGTGTTAAAGTAGAGAGACAGGTAGAAGAGTATAGAGATTGTCTTTACTTGTATAACAGTTGATGTATATGGTCTACTCATTGAGTTATTGTTAAAAATGCTGGTCAACTCCTGTAAGTTATTGGTAGAAGGATGTAATTTTTCGACTCTACATATTTTGATTATTGCTTGAATGGTTTCGCGAGTTTAAGGATAGTCTGTGAACTCATATCCATTGACAATACCATTCAGCAAAGTATCTAATTCTGTCAATGTTATATTCAATGAATAAGTAGTAGAGGCATAAAGATGAACCGAATTATTTATTGACAGATCGTTATGTATTGATTGACAGATTTAAGCTTTCGCAATTGAATAGTGATACTTCAGAAAGCAAAGCATATTGATTGAATAGTAAAATACTTATAGTGTCTAGTGACTTACTCTCCATATGCTCACGTTTTCACTGGTTGCTGTGATCTGTTCCAATAACCAGTTTGGTAATTCTTTACCATCTGAAAATGCTGGTAACCAATTAAACGATGAAGTTAGATTTGTTTGCGACAATGTTTCACCATTATTGTCATTTGAAGAACAATTCAATCCATTTGGCAGTTGATCTCACTTTCCAACATATGTATGGGCTGGAGCATTTGCATTGTGAATTTGGTTGAACTACAACTGTGTTCAGTTGATAATAAAAATGAATGCTGTGTAGGTTTAATTGGTTGAGATCTGTTGGAAACTAAGTTGGTTCGAATGAATGAGGAGTGGGAAAGACTAAGATCAACAAAACGATGAGGATACACTGATGTTTGTCTCTTCATTCAGTGGTCTTTCACGATGCTGCTACAAGTATAATTGTAAACTTAGCAAGTGTATGTAAGTTTATTAGGTAACACGTAATGATTCACATATATGTATACGGAATTATTGAATTGAGTCACTGATTTCTGATATCTGTAAATATTAGATGATTGAAGGATGTGTCGGGAATACAACCATCTTAGTCCGTCTATAAGTTATGGAGGTACGACAATTAGTTGTACGAAATTAACGAAATATTACAATGGAGAACCGATAAGACTATTGAATGCTCAGTGTTGTTATTATTACTAACTAACTCACTGACTAATTAACTGGTATGAGTACAAGGAATACTAAGGAAATTGAAGAAGACCTGGAAGTCTTCTGAACATTAGTAAGTTCTTGTGATAATTTATATTAAGAAGATCATAGAAACCGACTGAATAAACGTTTTTAACATACTCGTCCTCTATTGAGAAAATGTAAGTAGTCTATTGAGCACATGAGATACTCCATGAATCTTGCCCTTTATGTTTATCGTAAATGATAATCGATCAACTGATAGTGTGTTGATGAAATAACGGTAGGACTAAACTATACTGCCTACCTTTGAACGAATCTTAAATGACCTTGGGAAATATTAGCCAATCAGAAGACAGGTAGTGACCAGTGAAAATTTATTATACAAAATCAAAGAATTAAATTGGAAACACTTCTTTTACATGAGTCAAAATGTTCTCAAGGTCAGATAAAGTTCAGAAGTTCTAAATCATAGTGCACACGGTACAGGAACACATGCATATGGCTCCATAGTAGTCGACCTCTGAAACCATGATAAGGTCTCAAAAATTCTTTTAGCCTCGACCACATAGCTTCACTAATGTTAGTATATTGGTATGGTTTACGGTTAAGGGTTAGAGTCAGGGTTTAGGGTTATGGGTGAGACTATAAGTTATAGACAACCTTTGAGAGACGCTAGAGTGACTCTGAGAGTGTCAATATAATAACTAAGACCAGATGAGGGTATAAACCTGTGTGAAGAATTCAAATTATCATTTAAAGTTCACGGTTAAGGCTGGGAATTATACTTAGGGTTTTCATCACGAACTGACATCAGCTATAATGCTAAAACCGCACTTTGCGCCTTGACCTTGAAAACTCGCGGAAGCTTCTGATTGGTTCGGCAGTATAGTTTAGTCCTACATATTTAATTACTTACTTGGGCCTGTTATCCCTCATGGAGGAGCATAATTCATCCATCACGATTCTATATTCAACTCTGTCCTGAATAATCTTACAACCAATTTCGATTATGCTTAATTTTGATTAAGCCCATTTATCAACTTACTTAACTGACATTGTCATTTGGATAGTAACAATTCGCATATCTATTTGCACACTCTTATGATCACTAGAGCACAGGAGAGACTCTAGCTAAAATGTTGGTTGCTTCGTCCTCATACAATTTGACTATAAATTTGCTTATGTAACTGCTTTCACTTACCTACTCATGCATACTTACACCTGTTCGCCTCTCCACTTCAGATTCACTCTATGTCGTTCAATGAACTGGTTGTGTACTGATGGGATAAGATTTCAACTCTTACCAGAAAGCATTGTGAGTGTAAGTAATCCATGATGCTGAATTTATTTTGGAAGTAGGAAAACAAAATCAAAATCATATTTAATTTACTGATGAGATTCCAGTCGGTTGAGGATGTAAAGAGCGTTATTTTTTCATCCCGATTTGTACAATCAATTGATTAGTTTTAAAATGATAATTATTGACTACTTATTTGTGAAAAGTAATATAAACTGTAAATCTTCCTTCAGTGATCACCTTATCTACAAACTATCAACGTAAATAACTTACATAGAACTAGTTGGATTATTTCGAACGTCGCCACACACATCGATTATGTGTTCTTGAGTACGTTGTGTGTGGTTACGTTCCAATCGGTTGAAGCGGTAAAGACCTTCATCAGAAATTATAAAAGGGAGATATACTGTCATTATGAGGTTCGTGATTCTCATTCCCATAAAAATCAGAATCCTTATATAAAAATTCGTATGTTGGAGAGATGAACGTAGAACATCCAATGCATACACATAGTCACCTAGTGGTTTCACACTGACTATTGAATGAAGGAGGTAGGTTACTCTGGGTCATAAACTGTCATCACAGGCCAATATTCCAAACAGGCAATGTGCTCATTAACATTGTGAATATGAGGTGATTATGCCGATGTTGACGCTCACATCACGCCACTTGAAGGATTTTGACAGTATCAAATAGATGAAGAAAATTATTTGTAGTGATTTCCTTCTC